TATACCGTGTGTCCGTTCTCAAACTCGAACATAGGGATTTAACATGGAGTTGAACGTTTTTGCGGATTTCTGCTCGCCAACTTATTCTACAGAAAAGGTAATGGTATCATTGGAAAGAGAAAATTATTGCGCATCCACTGATACTAACAACAAGACTAAAAATTGAAATTGTAATGAAAAATTTTAAATCGTTTTGATTAAAAATTCGACAGTATTTTCCAAAACATAGTAGGCTTGAAACAGTTTGTTTATCAATAAAAATTTGACGTTTACGCTTTTGTGAAACTGAATTTACGGAAAGATGAATAATTATACCAACGAAGAAAGAGTTTTTATGGTAAAAACCTTTTATAGCGGTGTTAGTTTGCGAAGAGTTCGAGATTTGTTTGCCGTTGCGTTTAATACGAGACCGATACCATCAGCAAGTACCATACAAAAATATGTAGAAAAATTTGAAAATCAGGCAAATATTTCAGTAGAATCAGAAAGTAGGGGTGGTGAGCATTACAAATTTTATTTTAAAACATGTTCTAAAATGACATCATATCATAGGATATCGACAAGGGGATGACCGCACAGAAGAGCAAGTTTTGGCGATGATAAATGCAGACCCAACGTACAGTTTGAGGCAAATTTCCCATGAAACTGGTTTATGTAAGTCGCGGGTATGGATGATATTAAAGAAATACAAATATCACCCTTATAAACCACAATGTCATCAAGAGATTTTTTATGTTGACGAAGAAAGTAGGAGTGCATTTTGTTATGAGATACAAGAGCGCGCTAACAACGATCGCCGCTTTCTATCGTCGATATGCTTCACAGACGAGTGTACCTTTACCCTCAATAATGAACCCAATGTTCAAAACACACGTCATTGGGCTCAGGAAAACCCTAGGCTTAATATTTCAACCAGAACTCAGTATCCTCAAAAAATTAATATCTGGGCTGGGATTTTTAATCATAATATTATCGGCCCATTTGAAATTGAAGGAAACTTAAATTCAGAAACCTATTTAGATCTTTTGGTAACAAAGGTAGGACCCGCATTGGAAGACGTTGCAAGAGAAAATCAGGAGATCTGGTTCCAACAAGACGGCTGTCCTGCGCATTTTGGTTTAAACGTTAGACATTTTTTAAATAATTCATTTCCAAATCATTGGATTGGTAGAAGTGGTACCATAAATTGGCCAGCCAGATCTCCAGATTTGGCACCTTGCGACTTCTTCTTGTGGGGACACCTTAAAAGTAAAATTTATAAAAGACGCCACCCAGATATTAATTCTTTGAGAGAAGCTATAGTTACTGAATGCGCGTTAATTACTAACAGGGAGTTAGCGAATGTGCGAAATAGTTTTTACAACCGACTGGGATATTGCTTAGCTCAAAACGGGGGGTTATTTGAATATTTACTTTAATTTGTTTTTCCTTACTAGTATTTTTGTGTATTTTTAATAAAAATCGTTCGAAGCCTTTATTGCTAACATACTATATTGGTGTATTATAGAAATAATTGCCAAAAGACTACGAATTGAATACACATATTAATTCCCTATGTTCGACTTTGAGAGTGGACACCCGGTATATTATTACATATTCTTATATTTTATGTTCATCTTGAGTTGCAATTACAACTTACCTTGTGTTTATATTTATTAATAGAATCTCTAGCTTTTGCGATGAGAATACTTTCATCAGTCTCCAATTTAAAAGAAACTACGTAAGCATGTGGAACCCACAAATTCACAAGAGGCGCCAGCAATTTTGGAACTAATTGTAATGATATGGTCGGGGCTCCATTTTGTGATTGAATTTTGTGGGTGGGCTAAAATTAAGATATTGTTTACTGCTAGAAAGTTACACTCAGTTATTACCATTTCACTTGAAGGAATGTAAAAATCCGAAACGGCTGCGGCTAGGTACAACAGTGCATTACTTTGAAAGGCAGCTAAACATTCGCAGGCTGCTCTTAATAGCCAAAAGTAATCGGATACGCTAGTAAAGGTCACATACAATATTCTTCCACCTTCCTGGGCATTTTTATATCTTGCCAAGATCGGTGCGACAATGTCTACACAATCGGGTTTCACTAAAAATAATAAAATTAATTAGATATTTAGCAAAATTAAATGAACTTAATGAAACAGTGTATACGAATTCCATTGATCTTGTGGAAAATCAAAATATATTTTAGCATCCATGAGATACCAAGGTCAAAGAAGTCAACCCAGTTTGGCCCCAAAATTGTGTTCTGGCACAGAAAACTTCCCCTATCAACTCAGTCCATTTGATGACTCTCGCCAACACAGCCAATTCGTACCAAATTTGAATAAAACCAGCTTCGAAATATACTGCACACCTATTATTTCTGATCAGCAATGACACGTATTTATCTTATAACTAATTAAGTTTCACCTTACGCAACACTATAGCGAATATTCTTATAGCAAAAACGACCAGATGTAGATGTACAACGTAATTTCACTACTACAATTAAACAAACAAATCACAATAAACAAAACAAAGGCGATCAATTAAACAAAACTTAAACATTCAATAATACTTATACAAAACAGGTGCAGAGCCCAAATAAAACACCTGCATGCCGTTGTTTAGACATCAACAATACATAGGTGTTTCCAATTTGCTATAAGGTGTGAAAAGGGGTGAGGGGTTCGCCATTGGACAATGGCACGAGTATACATATTTACTCAAAGATTATGCGAAAATAAATTTCAAGATATAAAGTATCGTGTACGATTTTCAGGAAGTGATGTAACAGTTTAGTTTATTCATATTCAAATTTCAAAATTACCGCTTGCTAGGTTAGGTAGGATATAGGTGAGATGGCGTCACTTGTACGCGTGTTTCTTTCCTCGCGCAGAATCGCGTTATTTTTTTTTTTTCATTTCCGTTTTTAAGCCAACGAGGTTGTACTTGTTGTAGAGCGTGGCATTGTGAATTCTTCTTAAACCAGTGGGTAATATTTGCCATCATTCACGTGAAATCTCTGGCAATTTTACCTTTTTATTGGCGTTGTCGAGTAGAGTAACTCAGAAGCCGTTTTCTCCATTGCGAGGCTATATATCTGGTTGAAGTTCATCGCCCTACCTACATATTCACAATTTGAGGTTGGATAATTTCCATCTTTCATTGATTTAAGTATTTTTCATTACCCTCCTGACGATTTCAGGGGATCCATGTAGTAGATGAATTCTTGTACCGGTCAATCCATGTAGTAGATGAATTCTTGTACCGGTCAATCCTTGTACAGACGAATCCTTGTATGGTATAGTTTATAGTATATCCTTGCACATTCTTGTGTGCGGAGGACATTGACCTGGCATAATTTTGGAATAGTAAATGAATTTGCATCTTGCGAATATTCCGGAGTACGAACACCTGTTGATTGCCGGCAGCTATCCGGCGTACCACCGAGTAGATAAGCGCTAACACCTAAACGATACCGGGAGCGACCAGCTGATTGTGGAATTTTCGGAAGATACGATCTTTTACACAACTTTTTTTTTATTTGCTTCAATACCGTTAATCTAGTGTAACCTTCCGACGATTTATGATTGGAGCTTTGTATTTTGTTCGCGTCTAGTGTTTGAGGTCGTGGCTCTCTTCAAGAGCAACGCACCTGTATTTAACGTATGGGTAAACGAGCCGGCTACGAGTAAGCTATTTTTTTGGCCCTTCCGGCTCATATAATCGTTCCGAGCGTTGTAGCTTGGGGTTTGTTTTTGTGTTACAGAACTGGAACTTCGAAGGAGAGCTCTTTTTCGGAGAAGACAGCGTATGTGTTATTCAAGGTAAGATTTTTAATTTACTTGTACCCAGTGTTGCTTATATGAGTTGTTATTCGGGTTAACTTAATTCAATCTTGAATCCATTGAAATCTTAACTACATTTTTGCTCGATCATTGTTGTAGGGGTCTGGTAACGTAATTATTAGGGAAGTGTTCATGAATTTATTTGGGGATTATTTTTGTCATTTAAAGTATTTGTTATTGTCGTATTGAAGATACATTTTATTTGCCGATCCTGCACCGTTTTTGCCAGGATTAATAAATCAGAATTGCTCGTAGTGAATTTATTATTTGGCTCTCTTGTGTTTTCCCAATTTCTATACAGGAGAGGTCAGAATTTGTGCAAAATTGGGTGGCGCTCAACTAATCCTTTCTAGTGACTACCAAAGATCAAAAACTTATGTTATATGCCCAAACGAACAAACCGCTGTGGAAGATTCTCATCTCGAGCCCTTCTTTTAATTAAGAATCTGAGCTAGCTGGCCGTTTATGCGGCGGGGTTTGAGTTTTACAGCGCCGAACTAACCTCACGTTATAGTGAATATGCACTTCGGAATTCCTGTCTTAAATATTTACACATGAAAAAACTTTTAACGCCTCACCTGTATGAGGGCCGCTCCTACCCGGAGTTAGAGACACAAGCTGCCTTTCCTGCTGCTGCAGCTTTCAAATTCCGCAATCGAGGTCAAGACTATTGGAAGGGAGTGATTTCCTACCGAAGACACCAACGGATGTGACCAACGACCAAATCCGGCACCGGCAATCGAAACCGGAATACGCGGCTACCTGAAGCGAGCAACGCGAGATCGATTGAGCACAAACTCATCTCCACCTTAGTTTAGTTCGTGCTTAATCCTCTTAGAGGATAGAGACGTGTATATGCCAACCACGCTGGACGCCGCACAGACATTCCTAACCGCCAGGGCGATGTTGATTAACCCGAAGAAATGTGTCAATTTCGGCAATCACCCGCATCCGCCCTATCTTCAAGATCTCCGGTCAACTTATTCCGTTATTTATTTATTTATTATCCCTCTCTTGTTCTGGGCCCTCAACAGGCTTGCGCCCAATTACAGAGTGACCCGCATAATGCTTTTTAGAGGTGCCTCTGCAGAAGGTCATAAGTTGTTCTATACTACTCCGGTATTTACCTTACGAATTAGGTTTCGAAAGTGGTCTAAGGTAATTTCCATATGTGCCACAGATGAAAAATTCACCTCAACCCAGGTTCGAACACCCGACCTCCGGATTTATAACTCAACGCTCTACCATTGAGCCATAATGCCGGTACCTTCTCAACCTTCAGATACCTCGGCCCCCAGTATAGCCTAGTGGGAATACATAAACCAAACCTGTTCAACCAGAACAGCTGGCTGACCAATCTAGAGAGCGCCGTTGACGCGTATAACCAGAAATTTGGTCGTATATTGTGCCTAAAAAAGGTCGACGCCCTCCAGAGCCCGAAGATTACCGCCGCCTTCCTGAGCAAATATGAATCGCAGGTCTACAAAGAGAGCTCTCTACCTCAACGCGCATCCGGGCAGCCAATTGTTACACGTCAATGTGAGCGATGGGAGCTTGAGGATACCGGAATTACGCCGGCTCTCAAAGCGATTCGCTAATATGCACCAACACGAAGATGCCGGTCTCCGTCCTTATTGAAAACACAGGCCCTGCGCTAAATTTCCTTAGTTAGGTCCAACAACTGGCCTAGGGTTCACAATAGAGAATGCTGGTCACAGAACACTTGATGCTGGTCTACAATTATATGGTTTAATAACATACAATTGTAGACTGGCACCAGATTTTCTGTGACCGGCATTCTCTCCTGGCGGACATTATACAGTGTGCCCATTATGTATGGAATATAGTATAACTCTGTAAATATCGAATGTATTCAAAATATTTCTATATGTAAGTTGTTTACATTTTACTTCCCATAATAAGGCTGCATTCGGAAAACAAATGAGTAACGAAAAACAATTGAATTTTTTTAAATGGCAGTACACTTTTTCATTAGGCTCATTTGATAGAGATTTTTTTTCTCTTTTCGATGATATAACATGTTAGTACACTAATACAAGAATATTAAAAAAAAATTATACTTAATCACCTCAATAACAGTAATCTAGATATCCTGCATCAAAATAAAACAAATGAACATGTACGTTTCTTATTACCTTGAAGACAAAATGAAATTAGCAATAAAATGGTAACAAAAGTACGCATTCATTTATTTTATTTTGATGTAGGATATCTAGATGAATGTTATTGATGTGATTATAAGTTTTTTCGAAAAATTTTCTTGTATTAGGGTACTAACATGTTATATAATGGGAAAGAGAAAAAAAATGTCTACCAAATATGAGCCTAATGAAAAGGTGCACTGCCATTTAAAAAAATTCAATTGTTTTTCGTTGTTTTCTGAAATAAAAACAACTGAATGCTGCCTTTTTATGGGAAATAAAATGTTAAACAACATTCATATAAAAAAATTTGGTATACATTCGATATTTAACGAGATATATACTATATTCCATACATAATGGGCACCCTGTTTAGTGACATGTGGTTGACAATAATTGTAAAATATCCAATAAACTGTTTTATAGCTAAATGTCTCGCCATCTAATTAGGGACGCGCACGACTGGATTAACGAGATTCTCAACTGTCCCTACGTACTGTCTAGCGAAACCACAGTCAAGGGAACGGACTTGGAAAAAATAGCGGCAAAGCACACCCTGTTGAGCTTGACCGTGCGATCGAGTCACCCTCCGCCCTCCCCCCGTAGTCAATGACATACCGCTATTGTCCTCGTTTCCTCGCTAACTCGATATGGTAACAGGTCGGCGCGTGACGGTGATTTCATTATTAAAGCTCGTTTTACATGCTGAAAGATATTTAATGGAAACTGAAAGTGACAATTTGCTAATACCAACCTAAAAAAATATAGGTTAGATCTCGGGTTAGATAGACGCCTTTCGTAACTTCTTTTTCTTTTATTTCTGTGCACTTGTAATTTTCGCTGAATAATCTGCCTTTGCGCCCATCAACAAGAATGAACATCAAATGGCACAAAACGTAACATTAATGTTAAATGTGCTATCTTGGCAGCCCTACAATTTCAGCTGAAAGTGAAATATTTCGCGTTCGGACCGAAAAGGTGAGTTTTCAACTTTGAAAAAACCTTTCAGCATGTGAAACGCGCTTGAAAATCAATTTTACAAAAAAAGGTTAATAATCATGTCATCATAAGCTAGTAGCACAGATATACACATACACATTACACTCTCGGATAGGTAATTAAAATCGGCATTTAGATGTCACCAAAAAAGCGCGCCTAAGCCCTTTTTTAAAAGTATAAAAGTTAAATAAATAAATCCAAAAAGGTAGTAAAAAATTGGTTGGCCATGATTTACCTACCGCATTTATCACCTAATTCTTAAAGTCACTAAATATAGAAAGTACCGCAATCTATTGGGCTCATGTGTTAGAGAGGGAACGCATGATTTTTGCCCAAAAATGATGGAAGTTACCAGATTCTAGTAACTTTAATGTTAGGGATTGTTCCACCTGTTTGGAGATATCTGTATATATTTTTATCATTGAACTATATACTCTGTAACTGGAACGGCATCGAGCGCCAAAATCGCGTGCCGCAATGATTTTAGGCAACCAGCATAACGTAGGTATTCTCATCCTTGTCTGGCACGTTGTTTTGTATTGCATATGCAGGACCGATCACACGTATTTGGTTAAAAATACAGATAAGTACATAAACTGGGAGGTTGGGGCCTTAGAAAGATAAAGATAAATGCTTGTCAATGCTTTTATAAGTGCCAATATCTAGTTGTTAATGGAATATCTTAAAATATATACTTAATAATGTGGTAAACTGCGCCATTTCTCACTCACACACTCACATACTTGATTCTTGAAGTTACAAAAGTATAATGTCAATAATGTCATTCATGGTGGCTCGACGCATTCCATTTGCTTATTAACGTAAAATAAAGTTAGAAACATTGGTTGTGTTCGTTTGTAACGTACCCTTTACATAATATATTAGCAAGGAGGTAGGTACCTAATATATTACAATTGGCGTCGAGGTAAACGTAAATTTTAAAAAGCACTTTTTTTAGAATAAAATGAATTTAAGAATCATGGTTACTCTAAGAGCAAAAATTCAATTTACTCGTAGTGGTCACCGCATTGCCATTAGATGGAAACGAATTGACACGAATGTCTTATGCTGGTCTTATATGGAACGTTTGTTTCTCGTACGAGACTGGAATTTGTCCAACAGTCCGATGGATCCTTTGTTTTCGCAACTATACCTTGACACATCCAACGTAACTACCAAACAGACGAGTTGTAAGTGTTGGTGGTGCCATTGACAGTATCGAAGAATTGAGGACAAATACCCATTGGAACATCCACAGCGAGCAGCTTGAGTAATGCATAAGTGCAAATTTCGTTGATGAGCAGCGAAAGGTTTCTGGCGCATCTAACCACGGTAATTGGACCAGAGGGTTTATAAGGCATTGCGCTACTTATATAACCCAGTTTTGCCCAAGATGAACTGTACGCCGAGTTATGTGAGGGCAGAATTACACCTTCTACAAAAGGTCTCCCATATTTTCCGGAACTCACCTTTATAACTTGGCCCCAGAAAAACCATTGTATACATATACATTGGAAAAACTCAAGACCTGCAAATCCTTCGGAATATTTCGTAGGGAAATGAAAAAAGTTTTTCATATATAACTGCTTCTACACCATTAAAGCATATGTGGATGAATATGGATGTAGAAAATGCAAACCATGATATTTTCTAATTTAACTTTTGTGAAGTGTGATATGTGTATGCTTTTATATTTTATCTTTACTCTTTGACGCCACCTAATGTACGTTCAATGTAGGCCGAAGGAATTGGTAATAAATAAAAAATCAATCCTTAAAGGTATTTTTCGAACCATTAGTGAGCAGTATCAATAATAACGTTGAGTGAAAAATTAAATAATAAGGAACTTCATATTCAAATTAGTAAGTCAAAACGGCTTTATAGGTTTTGGCGGCGTTAACGCTTTTCTTAACATTATACCCTCTAGCGAGTGAAATATCCTATTGTTATTATCTTTTTATCTGGACACCAAACTGTTTTTGTACCTATAAAGTTATTAGTTATGTGACGCTACTCATCGTAAATCACTGACATGCAGCGACATAGTTAAAAGTAAAAGTAATAAAACAAACGAGCAAGATACTAATAGCAGAGTGTTACTCTTTGCTAATAGGGTACCAATTACCATACTGTTTGCACCTACAGTAGGCAACTTGTGAATCACAGTAAGTATATTGGATGGAAGCAAATAAGCCTAAATTCAGAGACTCGAGAAGTCATTCTAAACAAAGGTATTAGTAATATAAGGCTATATACCTATGTATTAATTGTATCTCGTAAATGAATTATTTACCCACTTCAAGATAATCCACTTGTATTAAATACCAAGCTAAATAGTACTCATACTATTCTCCACGCAAACGTTCTAAACATGAGGTCGTCAACACGATGGATCAGTTAACATAGTCGGTACCAATGCTAATGAAGCACTGTGATTATAAGAAAGATAATATATCTACTTTAAAAAGACCGCGATTGCAATCAAACAACTATTACAATTATTTATCCGCAAATGTTGAAAAAACTACCTGTAATTGTTGTACTGGGCCCTCGGTCATTCAATTCTAGCATATCGAGGAACATTTGCCCCGTAAAATGTCTCGTAAATGGCTCCAACGATTTCAAACGGTGCAGAAATATAACCATATAATCATGTTCTAAAAAATATTCTGCGGAGGCCGCACCTCTGGTCCCTGCACTAAAATTATCCACAAATCTTACTGTATTATGCTCTAACGGAACTGTTGTACCTCCCGACTGAAAAAGCAAGTAACAGCTGAGTAAGTACGGTTAACTTAATTAACTCACAGTTATTAGGACAATTCTTTGATTTGTTTTGTGGTGGCGTTCACAGAATTCTTTCAGTAACTTTCTATTATCTTCAAAGTCTGTAGGGGGTAAATGTGTTGAGTAAAATTCTTCCCAATGTGATGCCATTATTTTGTGAAATTAAGGTTATGAAAATATAACCAAATATTGACAAATGCCTTTGAAAAATATAGCATCGAAATCTTATAAATGCAGAAGCAAATTTTGTACTTTTGAGCATTTATAGTTGAGGAGGTTAGGGATAGCATGATTAAACACTGCAATATATTTTAAAACAGACTTTAATATAGGTACATAATCACATAATGTTTTGCTACAAAACTACTACCAACGGGTAGATAACTAGTATTTAGGTGCCGGACTTTCAAGTTTGCTATAATCAAGATTAGGTGAATAGAACTAAAAATAAAAGAGTTAAGACCGTTTCACTGAATGTATTGTTATACCTTATATTGCTTCGACCGGTAGTCCTCGTTAGAGGCGCCTTCCCCTTTATTTGCCCAGGCAACGTCAGGATTACGCAAAGCTAAACGTAGTGTGTAACCTACAGCTCCTGCACACCCAATTCCAACACACACATAGAGGGGAATAAGCTATAACAGATTAAAGCTGATTAGTGTTTCTTGAATCCTACATAGGTAATGGATACAAAAGATACCTGTTACATAAGTAACCATATACTTACAGCTCGATGCTTCTTTAAACTTTGAAGGCTTAGACCTTGCATTTTAGATAATGTTGAGTGATACAATCTATGCAATGCAACTTATTCTGCAAAAGGACAAATTGTTTAGATAGAAATACAAGAGAGACTACTACTGACGACTTAACCTTTATTTGACAGCTAGCAGTTGCCACTGTTGCCATTGCCAGTTGTATCAAAATAAGACAGCAAACCTGGTATTCGCGAGTGAGACAAAGATAAATAGCATATTTTCCAAAATTTAGTTCAAAGTAGTTTCTAAATGTTTTGAATTTTTGATACTTCTTAAAAAAGACCGTATATTTTTACGTTTAAATCACTATCAATGCTTTGAATTATTGTCGTGTACAAATAGGCTTTAAAGTTTAAACTATCCAGATAAAATAAACTTTGATTTAAAAATATAACTGTATTGACTCATATAGTACACAAGAGAGGGAAATTTAAGCCGGAAGCATTTGAACAAACATTTTAGTTATTACAGGGTGACGAACATTTTATGTTCGTACCATTGAGATCTGGAAAACGACAAGATGTAGAAAGTCGGATAAATCAGAAAAGAGTTATAATTTTTTTAAAGGGAAATACAACCATAACCCTATACAAGGGGATTCAAACTTGATGGCCCATATCGCACATCGATTCAAAATAGAAGAGTTTCTTGTTAGCAGGGTCCCGCCCCTGGGATTCTTGTTCCTTGTTCATGGTGTCGGAAATGCAAACCTACAGTTGAGATTCGGGATCAATCACAGCCTTAGATGTCGCAACTATTTTGATTGTAGTTCTCCCATCCTTGCGAAAAGTATTAGCATTGAATTTATAGCTATAAATTCAATGGTATTAGTTTATACATACAACAAGTTCATATTTTTTATAAAAACATCAAACTATTAGATAATTACCAAAAATTTAAACGAATGACTAATAACCATGTAATCAAAACATAAACATAAATTGAGGAGACATTTGCACTAAAAATAATAATCGTTTCAAACTAAAAAATCATACTTACCTACACGTGATGCCGTATCAATGCTGCAATAACTTCAAAACCAAAGATTGAAGATTATAAAAAATATAACATTTTGGTATACAAAACACAATTAATTTATAAAAAAAGTTTATTAAATCACACAAAAAACAACAAACTCAAACTATGCGATCCCCTTTTACTAGGTAGCTACCTATTATGATTTCAGGTTTATAATTTCACTTTCAACTCGACACTTTTGGATCAAAGAATACCATCCAACCATTTATTGGAAAACTTATGTCGCAGATAGTAAAAAGTAAAAAATAACACACAACATAGACAATTCAAACGGAAGAACATCGCTACTTGCTTATTCTTGTAGGCAGATACCTTTAGGTGCTTTAAGAAAATAGAAACAGTCACATTTTAGCGGATTTATTCTCTAAAATTTACATTCAATATCATAGCACCATATTTAGGAATTGTAGAGTATTTCCATGGCTGACTAAAGAAACACTTTGAGATATTAGGTATTTGATTGAACACGCATGGCAGTTTCTGGTATGTGGTTGTACAGTGGTTCATGTGTAATATATCTGGAAGGATTTAGCTAAAGCATACCGGTCCAATTTCAACCCAGAATGCTTGATCAGGTTGACCGATATCTCTAACCGCAATGTCTGCAATTGGTAGTCGAGTAGCTTTATCTGAAGTGTACGTTAATACTGTTCTGGCCCAAGTGTTTTGTCGAGACTAAAAAAAAATAAAAATCATAGGATATTAATGGGAAAATTGTATTCTCCCATCAGCAGTTAAAGTGACGCATTTTGTGACAAATCTGCAAGAGTACCTACTGGACGAGGTCATTGAATGAATGAATAAATTAATGGTGTTGTCAACACAAATTTAAAAAAAAAAAGGTTATCAACACTTACCTTGCATTCATCTACTGGTACTTCGTATCGTAGTCTTTGATTTCCTCGCGGTGTTAGTTCAACGTCATTCCAGCTCAAAAGCTTGACTCCCTTGCGATGCGTTTTTTTCTGCTCATCGTAATATGCTACACTATTCTTGCAGTGATACGTGATGGTTTGTTGGGCTTGTGTAGATAATAATTGTAAGAATGTGATTTGATTGTTATCCGCTTTGTATGTTAACTAAAACATTGTTGTCGGTTAAAGGAGGCGTTCAGGGTTGATAATTGTACTGCTTACCTTCATACCGTTTTCCATTTCGCTTAACCATACTTCTTGTTCGTGTCCTTTGTATGAAATTTCGGAGGATCTGTCAGGTTTGGGAAGAAGACAAGTTGCGCGTTTTTTCATGTCGCAATAAACCAGTATAGAATCTCGAATATCACCGTCGTTGGGATCGACCCAGTATTCGCCTAAGGTCAATACAGTTTAGCGATGTTACATAAAATAATTAACAATCCTTACCGCTTTCGGAATCGGGATATGCGGCAGCTATGTCTCTGCATGTTTTTCCGGGAGAAGATTTTTGGCCGTTTGGCTTCTTGAAACGTTCAAATGAGGATTTCAATTGTTCATAAGCCTTAACAACTAATTCCCTTCTCTCTTCGTCTGTCATTTCTTTTCCGAAAATGCGAATCGGCTCGTCATCCATTGGATCCGGTCCCTTTTGGCTTTGAGGCCCTTGCCCAAGTAATGCCGCTAATGCAGCCGCATCGTATCCCATACCTTCTCCGGGAGGTCCAGGAAGACCAGGAGGTCCTGGTGGACCAGGAGGACCGGGGCGACCATTTTCACCAGATAAACCTCTTTCTCCCGGCAGCCCCGATAAGCCTTGGGCACCGGGGTTTCCATCTCTGCCAGGGGTGCCTCTTGGACCGGTATCACCATCTTTTCCGGGTAATCCAGGAGAACCAATACCTCCTCTTTCCCCAGCAACACCGGGTAACCCTGGCATTCCTTGTAAACCAATTAGACCTCTGTGACCTTTCATCCCCATAGGTCCCATATCACCCCGATCTCCCTTCGATCCTGCTTCACCGGGAGCACCAGATTTGCCTCTTGCTCCTTGGGGACCCTCCACACCCATTGGTCCAGTTTCGCCCCGAGGACCTCGCTCTCCAGCGGCTCCGGGACTTCCTGCAGAGCCAGGTGGGCCCTATCAAACCAAGATGTAGTTTTATAAAACTTTTCAGTTAAAGGTGAAACTTACTGGTAATCCAGTAGGACCAATAGATCCTGCTTGACCTGCCGGTCCTACAGGACCTTTGTCACCGGGTCTACCAGCTAATCCTGGAGGTCCAGCTTTACCAGGTGGCCCTTCAGGTCCCTGCTCTCCATGTGCGCCAGGCAATCCTACTGGTCCCATTAAACCCATCATACCAGGTGCGCCTTCATTTCCTGCTTTTCCAGCAGGTCCTGTTTCGCCCTAAATTAAAAATTTGTTTACATTAATCGATGTGATAAATTAACCTAAAGATATCAATTTCCAAACTACTTACCGCAGGTCCTCGAAGTCCACGAAGTCCAGCCGGTCCTGGTGGTCCCGGAAGACCAGGTAAACCTCTTTCTCCCGCAGCCCCTGATGGTCCTGGTGGACCATGGAGACCTGGAGAACCCTCGTGTCCAGTGTCACCTTTAGCTCCATCTAATCCGGGTGGCCCCGGCAATCCTTGTGCTCCTGGACTTCCTGCTCGCCCAACATCACCACTACTACCTTTTATTCCAGGTAATCCTTGAGGTCCTGCAGGTCCAGGACTTCCTTGATGTCCCTAAAATAAAACAATTTCGTGGCTGAATATAAAGCGATTTATTTTTAGCTTACTGCAGCACCAGGTTCTCCTGGCCGACCTGGGGCGCCCATTAGACCACCTTCTCCTCTAGCACCAGGCTCTCCTCGCATTCCTTTTGGTCCCGTTAAACCAGTTAATCCAGGTGGTCCAGAGTCTCCAGGTTTGCCGGCGTGACCTGGGTTTCCTTGAGAACCTTTAGCACCTCCAGCCCCTCGCTCTCCTTTACCGCCGGGAAGCCCGACCAAACCTTGTGGTCCAGGGAATCCTATTCCACGGTATATGATTAGCATATGATTTTTAAGTTGGTGCCATATGTATACCTTGTGCACCAGGAGGTCCTATGCTTCCTCGTTCACCGGGAGATCCTGCAGCACCATGTTCACCTGGTACACCCTGTGCGCCAGGTTCGCCCCTCTCCCCAGATTCCCCATGAGCCCCTTGAGGGCCGACGGGTCCCGGTGGACCTCTTTCTCCTAATCTTCCAGCAGGTCCTTCGGGACCGGGTGCGCCGTAAGATCCTCTTTCACCTTTATCACCTTGAGGGCCAGTAGGTCCCCGTAAACCGGGAAGTCCAACTAAACCAGGTAAACCGCTATGCCCTTTTTCACCAATAGGTCCTTGTGGACCCTAAAATATATCGTAAGTGTCTCTATTCGTTTGTTTCTTCAAATTTATTACAGGTGGTCCGTCGCTTCCTTGTCCTCCTGTTTC